GCTTACTTAGGAATATTCAGATTGGCTTTGCTTACACCATATGGCTTTAGTAAAAGGATACCTTTTACTACAAATGGAATTGAGAATCTTTCTTTCCTAAATGCACAAACTGGGACAGCCCTAACAGAATTAGAGGAGGATTTGGTTTGGCTAATTGGGAGTTGTACTATCAAGCTACAAATCTGATGTGGGTTAAGGAATGGATAACACTAAGAAATACTAGTTTGTTGTCATTAGAAGGACATGATTTGTTGTTGGGGTGGCATGCTTTTTTATGGTATAAAGGAACTAAAACAAAGGGGTATTTTAGAAGACATTATATACGGGAGTCTCTGTGGTTAAATTGGGAGAAGATTAAAAGACAATGTTATTTGAAAATTCCAGTCTGGTTATCGACTATTGAAGCATTTTCTTATCCTATAATATATAAAAAGGAACAAACAGTTAGATATGGTGAAATATTGAATGAAAAGAGTGAACTCAAATCTATACAAAAACTAGAGGAACAAGGTATAAAGATGAATTGGTTTTCATATGCGCAAATACATTCAAGGTATGATAAAGATTCTAAAATGGAAGGTTTCTATGATAAATTGACTGAATTCAATAAGATTTTGACAGGTACTGATGAAAAGATGATTAAAAAACTGTATGGATATTTATTAGAAATTAAACTAGAAGAAGAACAAGTTAAAGAAACTATGATTGCTTGGGGGAAGAATTTTGGATATGGGATCTATTTAGAGAAATGGCAGAAATTGTGGTCTCAAAATTATAAAATGATAATGTCAACTGCATATAAAGAAAATTTGTATAAGATGTTTTACAGGTGGCATTTTCCCCTGACAAGAATAGCAAGAATGTTCAAGAATAAATCCGAAAATGTTGGAAATGTCATCAGACACCTGGCTCATATTACCATATGTGGTGGACTTGTGCGGATGCTAAAAAATACTGGACTAAAATCCACATGTGGTTGGAAAAAATGACAAAAAGACATATAGACTTGAAACCAGAGATATTTTTATTGGGAATTTTACCTGAAATATATAGTAAAGACTTGAAATACCTGATTGTAAATGTATTAACAGAGGCTAGGATTGTATTTACTAAAAACTGGAAAAATGAGAAAACACCATCACAGGAGGAAATCATTAAGATAATATTGGAATGTGCTGAAATGAGTAGATTGACATTGAAATTAGAGAACAAGAGGATAAACAATTTTATAAAATTTGGGATCTATTCTATCAATGGTTAGACAATAAAATACAGTAATGAAATATGTAGACTTTTAGAAAATAATAAATATATAAAGATGTATTTCTTTCTTATTATATCTACAAAATGATTTTAGGATAGATTTGGGATGATAATATGAACTGTTATAAAATAAACTAAGTAAATTATGATTATCTTGTAAAACATGAATGAATAAAAGTATAGTCAAATGATTGATTAATAATAATACTAAGGTATTTAATTTTTGATTGAAAATATGAGATTATATGCAATGTAATTGTAATTGAAGACTACGAAATGGAAGCACAAAACAATTTGTAAACCAACCGGCACACTGTATGTACACATATGGAAGATAGCTTGATGTTTTTATGTTTTGTTTGTTTATATTTGATTTTAAAAACCAATAAAATTAAAAAAGCTACTTAATCACTTACAGATAGAATTCGTAGAAATCAGAAACTCCATTTACACATCAAGAATTTCGCTTTATATCCTTTTAGTTAGAAGACATGGTGAATCCTCACTAATAAATACAATTTTTCATGTTACTAAAACTTGAACAAACTATCTTTAATAAATATAGACCACATTACTGTTTCAATTCAATTAATTAAAAGTATTTTATGTGTTAGCAGCTGAGGGCACCCAATGACATTCTGATAAGCAAGTTAGTTAAATGTGGGCTGAAGATAGTAACAATTATGTGAATATATAATTGGCTCACAATTTATTGTCAAAGAGCACCCATCAATTATATTTCATCAACCTGGAAAAGGACCAAATTATTATTCAAGTCCACAATTATCAATTCCCAAGACAGATTTCCAACATTTCAATATTTTTTATTAATGATCAGATAAAAAAGTAGAGGGAATGCTTCTCAGTTTTCAAAAGTTACAAAATTGAATAGAGTTAGCTCATACTGTGGAATAAAAAAATAAAATTCAAAGCAATCTTGATTGGTTGGAGAAATGGATTAAAAGTAATAGAATGAAATTTTAATAGAAGCAAAGGAAAGATTTTCACTTGGGACACAGTCAAGTGCATGGATTGTAAGTTTTATGTTATCTGTCTTGACAATAGTACTTGCAATGAAGATATTGTCATAGCAGTTGATTGCAAACTGAGTCAGCATTATAAAGAATGAATTTCCAAATATAAGAAATATTTTCTCAATTCTATTCTGATTTGGCCACATCTACCTTGAGTATTGTGTCCATTCTGGATATTACAATCTAAGAAGATTTGGAAAAGGACAATGAAATGATTAGGACTTTAAAAATTATGGCCTAAAGGTGATTGACCCAGCTAGATATGGTTAGCCTTGAGCAAAGACTATTAAAGGTGGATAGGATAGCCATCTTCAGATAACTGCAAAAAGGTCACATAGAAAACTATCAAAGCTTCATTCTCACCCCAAAGCAAAGGACATGGAATAATAGATTTTAAATTACTGAAAGATAGATTCCAATAAAAATATTAGGGGAAAATATTCCTAATATTAAGAGCAGTTTGATGGTGGCACTTTCTTTCATTGGAAGTATTCAGGTGGATGCTAGACAATCATATGTGTGGGATGTTTTAATCTGGATTCTTTCATATAAGTAGAGGCATATACTCAATATTCCTTTCCAAATCTGGGATCCTAAAATAGAAGAAACCAACCTAGTCAGACTTTGTGTGAACTGTTCAAGTTCTGATTTCATGCCCTCAAATTTCAGGTTATGTGATTATCCAGACATGACTGTACCTACTTTTACTACTTCTGATTCAGTTACCTTTTGCAAATAACTTTTGTCTGTGTTAAAATGATTGTAAAACTATCTCCTATGGAATTTTGTGTGGTTGTGATGCAGCACCCAAAATACAGCAATTAAGTGAAATGTTTTGTACCCAAAGCACTAATGTATAGGTTATTTAACCTACAGTATTTATTTATTACAGGCTTCATGTATATAGTACATAAATGCTTCAGGACTTTTTTTTTTTTGCATATATCCAGAGCTGAATGGGACAACTTGCCATGGCCAATTTGCTAGAGGCTAACTTGCTATGGCCAACTTGCCATGAGACAACTCACTGCTGAGCAATTCAATTTTATTTAATTATTTAAAATAGTTAAAAAATTATTTAAATTTTTGTCATTCACATTTCATTTTGTCTCTCCTTTTGTATCCTTTCAATGATTCTATTCCATCATTTCTTTGATATTCTTGTCCCACCATGAATTGTCCCATAGTGAGTTGACTGTGGTGAGCTGGCTGGAGCAAGTTGGCCATGGCGAATTGGCCACAGTGCGTTAGCTGCGACAAGTTGTCCTAGACCCTATCTAGCACACTGAAATATGCCAAATCTCAATATGCATAAAGTGTCTAGACACATCCATGCAGTATTCTTTGCCAACATTTTTGGAAGGGATTTTCTCTTTTCTTTTTCTAAGACTGAAAGAAAGGAAGTGTTCAAAGTAACTCAGGGGGATTCCATACCTAAGGCAAGACAAGAAGTCACATTTTCTGCCTTCTAATAAAACACATCAACCCACCCTTAAACTGGTTCTCAAATAGCATATATACTCATACTATTTCTAGTAAAATGTTTTTCCCTTGATCTAAAGACCAAAACAATTCTTATTGTTGTATATAACTGTTTATTGCAATCTGTTACTTTATTAATCTATGTGTTAATTACAGGAAAATCTACAATTTTTATAGACATTTTATGCCAATTTCACTACTATAAAATTACAGTTGATTCTCTATTACATAATTAGAAATAAATTGGACACTTTGGACAAATTGCATTATATTGAGAAATGTTATGGAATAACATTTCACAATGTATAAACTTTTCTTTGCTACATTTCTATATGTTCTTAAACAATATACTGAAAGTCAACTGACTTTCTTCCCCCAGCTTTTTTTTATTGAACTAAATTTACTTACTTAAAAATGCAACATAATTTTCATACAGAAAGCTTGACTTTTAAATAGGTTAATAGTACTTAGAAATACTTCATTTCTCCAGCAATAGAGCAAAAAAGCAGAAAAGTATGAGAAGCAGAATAAATAAGTGAGGGTGTATTCAAGGTTATGGCTCTACCTACAAAACACTGAGGTCACCGTATGCACTACTTCATCAATACATTGCTAACTTAGAGTTTTAGTGAAGTTCTACTTTTTACTCAGGAAGCAACAGAGATTCATGAAATAAGACTTGCTTCTATTTGAAATGATGAGTAGATTAGAGCAGGATATATAAAACATATAATAAAGAAATATGTTGTTGTAATTTAGAAATAACTTATACATTTAGGCATTCACTGTAAAATCATAATCATTCTGGAAGGCTTAATGAAAACAAAAACAGAATGAAACCATAAAGCATAGGCATAACTTTGTTTATACTGTGATTAGATTGCTGGCTACTTAGAACACAGTAACAGTTTATTCTGATTTTCAAATAGAAAGGAAACAAGAAAAAAATAGGAACAAGCAGTACTCAAGAAGGAAAGTCTACTTTATTCCTTCCTTGTCCTCAAATGCCATTAGTTTCAATACTATATACAATTTGTTTATAGATGGGCTTTTAATTTGTATTATGTGGTCATTCAGACTCAAAATTACTCTCATTTTTACTCATTTTCATCATGGTTTTGATTGTAACATTGAAATGTTCTAGTTCATATTGTCTTACACACACTGTGTATGGTTTGCTTTATGTAATTTCATATTCATTGATTGGTTGGTTGGTTGCAGGGGAAGATCCTGAAACAAGAAGAATGAGAACTGTAAAGAATATAGCTGATCTGAGACAGAACTTGGAAGAAACTATGTCCAGTCTTAGAGGAACTCAAATAAGCCACAGGTACTGTTTACTAGTACAGTTGGATACATGGAACAATAAAGCAAAAACAGTGTATTGTGTATTGTCTAATCAGAATCTTCAAAGTTTCTAAGTCTGATCAGTTAATGTTCTTAACATTTCGGTAAATATTTTGTTTCTTCTTTTTGTCCTCTTCATTTTGAGGCTCTGGCCACAAAATTTTCAGAAAACAAAAGATAGTAGTAAATCAAGCCTCAAGAAGTAAATTGATCTCTAAGCAATTTAAAATATATCATATGGCTAAAGAAATAAATATCTATCAAAAAGTGAAAACTACAGTATTGCAGAAAACAAAATATAAATTGTCTTTAAAATCTGAATAAAAACTTGTATGGCTCATATTTAAACAATGCCAATCTATAATCATTGTGCTGTATGGATGAAGCTATTCTGAATGATAAAACATTTTGTGTTACTTTGTAATTTGAATCTTGCCACTTGGGTTAAAGTAAACAGTTTTAATTGAATTTAGTCTTGAGACTGTTTAAGGATGGAGAAAGCAGGTCAGTCAAAGGAATAGTATTTCTTAATGATAATGATACAGCTGAGTGACACTGTAGTTGCCAAATTCTTTTAAGAATCATGAGCTTATCTTTATTTAGAATGTATTTTCTGAAATGAATGGAAAACATTTCTAACTTAATCTCATTGTCATATTGAAATGAAAACATAACATATTAATTTTAGCTATGTGTGAGTGATTCATTACATATTATAAGGAAGATCCTGATTTTGAAAAACTCCATTTTATTTTACAGTACTTTATCTTTTCTACCAGCATCGTGTCACTGCATGTCATTTGGTGAACATTTAACAGGTTTTATTTTCCATAACAGGTTTTATTACAAGGTTCATTTTATTTTATTTGAATCTTATATATTAACATGGTTTTATCTCAAAGCCCACCATCGCTAAAAATATGGAAAATCTGAGAATGGAAATTGGCTTGTTGAGGAAAAATGTCAGCCTTAGAGTGACATCTTTAAAAACAGGTGCTATTTTTTCCTAAGTCATGTTTATTTAAAAGTAAAACTTTCCTTTGTCTACCTTTCATCCTATATGCAAAAAAATATGGAAACCATGGTTCAACAGTTTTTGTTTTGCTTGACAGCACACTGGAAACAACATTTGACAGTACTGTGACAACTGAAGTAAATGGACGAAGCATTCCTGGTTTACCAAGCCGATCTTCTCCAGTGACCTGGAGGCTTGGACAAGCTAGTCCTCGACTCCAGGCAGGTGATGCTCCTTCCCTGGGTGGAGGGTACCCTCGCAGTGGTGCTAGTCGCTTCATCCATACTGACCCTTCTCGATTCATGTACACCACACCTCTTCGTCGTGCAGCCATCTCTCGTCTTGGCAACATCCCCCAAATTGACATGGGTGAAAAAGGAAATAGTGACCTGGACATTTCCTCTGATGTTGATGTTGGAGGGTACATGAGTGATGGGGACATTCTTGGGAAAAGCCTTCGAGCTGATGACATCAACAGTGGGTAAGTTTTTCTTTTTTGTAAAAATGAGATTAGAAAGAATTGTGATTTTTTAAAAAAAATAATTCACAAATCTGTTCATAAACAGAAAGGAATAAGGCAAGCATCTGAAAAATATATTGATTTGTTCCTGACTGAATTAGAACTATAATAATTTACAATGAAAGTTATTAGTGAAAATAAATTAACTAATCACATATTTTCCTGTTTAAAGTCTCATTTGAATTCCAAACTGAATTAAATTAGTTAATTAAATTATAGTTATCTCTAGTCTCTTTTTTTCTTGTTAGACTCTTTTATGGAGACAAATATACAACATGATTTTCATGTTTAATTTTTCTGATGCAGATGAATATGCATGGCTCACTCTTCGTTAGTTTTTAGAAACGCCTTGTCTTTTTGAGGACTTATATTATAATGAATTTATAATCTTAAATGATAATGGCTTGAAGTTTTATAGCTTATATTTTCTAACATTGCTTATCACTTAGATTATACATAAAATTGGAATGATAAATATCCTGAAGAGAACACAAGAAACTTGTCTAATAAAGAATATGAAATACACCTAACAGAAAGGAGCCCACTGCTTCTGTGAAATAAGCCTCCTTGTTAAATTGTTTACTCTTAGAAAATGTCTCCTAATATTCATCCATAATCTGCCTTTCTGGTTATGAAATCCATGATTCCATGTCTGTTTTTGTTCACTTTCTCCACAGTGTTTTTCAGAGATTTGAAGATTCTGTCATATTCCCTCCCATGATTTGTTATTATCAAAGCTAAACTTGTATGCTACCCTCAATCTATCTTTATATAATTTAGATACCAATTTCCAATACTTTTATGATTGGTTTTTCTGAACCTATTTTGATTTGTCTAATTCAACTGGACATAATATGCAACATCAGTGAGATGTCTTCTTATTTTCTTAATATATTATTAGGCATTACATACATATTATATGATAATGTTAGAGATGTGTTGTTTGGGTAAAATATATGTACAGGTACTTTTTTATAAAGACCTGCAAAACACAAATGATTTGTGCTGAATGTTAATTTGATATATGAAGAATATTATTTTAAAAATTAAGATATCCAAAATCAGGACAGTTGTTTCGACTGAGAAATTGGAGTGACTCACTGCAAGCTAAAATTAGAGCAAGGAGATAAATTTGTGATATTTGATAAACTGTTTACCAAATATGGGAAAAAGATTCTAAGAGGTGTGAATATCTATAGCAAATTGGTAATATATGTTTCATTAAGAGGGATAAATATTGCTCTTACTATAAGAGCATGCTTCTACTTATTTTTTATATGAGAGTGAGAGTCGGGTGTGATAGGAGAAACATGAAAGTAAGTTTCTATGGAGATTATCAGTGATCCAGGTCATAGCTGAATCAAAGGTGCTTTTTCAAAAGCCAACTGGACTGTTTTATTTTCCTTGAGGAAAATAAAGAAGCTTCATCAATTCATGCAGAATGATGGGAGGGATTGAAGGATTGGTTCTGATAGAATGGCGGGGGATGATTTTGAAAGATCATATTTCTCTGGTCATTAGCATTCTCCCTGAGATCTCTTGATGCCACATAGGTGTTAATCTGTGCCCTGAGGGTAATCTATATCAAAGTGCAAATGGCAGTAGAATTTTCTTGGTACTGCTGAAAGGACTTTGTTGTAGACAAGAGATAGATGCTGTCTTATATTCCTCTCTGTTGACAGAGAGGAATATAAGACAGTGTTAATATAATGCTCAATGTTAACATAAATGACCTCTTTTACCGCTCTTTCAAACCAATGGTCCTCTCTATATTCTGTCCACATTGTGGATAGGGAGGACCATTAGTTTGAAAGAGGAATAAAAGAGAACATTTATGTTAATAGGATAAAAATACTGGTTGCTGGTTTAGTATTTTTTTCATGACCACTATGGTACGGAGGCTCAAATATTTCTATAAATCAGGATAGGGAGAGCAAAATGGATATAGCAAAACCGATCAGTGAGCCTTTAATTTGCACATGACCAGGAGATTAAATAACCATAATAAAATTAATTAAATTGGTCATGGACTATACAGCAACATTTATGATTTTTTAAAGGCTTTCAATAGTGAGATTGCTGTAAATTCATAGATTATTAACTTCTTGGAATATAATTTTGCCATCTCATAATGCTGTAATGTCCTTCCTTATCTTGGAATTCTAAGCAGGTACCATGTACTTTTTTGGTTTGTTCGAACCCAAACTATGTAATAGTTCAGATGGGGCAATCAGCTTCCAGAGAATTGCTTAAAGTCTTCAGAAATCTTTGAACAAGTCTAGGAATCTCCAGGATTTAGCAGAAAGGGTTTTGAGCAATCCCAAGAATTTCACATTAAAAATTCCCTATATAGTCAGGGTTGATTCAAAGCTGAAATCTAAACATTGTAAATCATACTTAGATCCAACTGAGTTATGCAAATTTTATTTCTAAGTAGACCAGCTGAGAACTGAGTTATATTTGTAATTGTTCATTGATTCCAAGCTCTGTTTTGGCATTTAGTATGTTCAACATTCATGAAAGGGTTAAATAGCTAGTGGAGGCAAGTACAGGGAAGTTCCACATCACTGGGCATGCACTGGCTTCTGAAGATGTTGGGTGTTGACACAGGAGGAGATACAAATACATGCACTCAGATGTGAAAACTTTTGTATGAATTTTCATCTACATGTGCTTTGAATTCCTGGTGAATGTTAACTTTTATTGCACAAATATTTGTAAAAAATGCAACAATTTGACTGTTTGCAAAGTGTGGCTTATGTATGTGGATGCCTTCATTGCACTACTAAGGCTAATGTTCCCAAAAATGTTCAGCCCTTGTACAATCACAGCTTCTAGTAATTAATTTAAGTAAACCTTGTTGTCAAAGGTAAGCCTGAAAATAAGCCATACCTTATTTTAAGAATACTGTAGAAGTTTGAGAAAAAAGGGAGTTTATTAAGTTTATTGGTTTGTTGAAATCTAGACAAGTATTTAATTTTAGATTTATATTCCACCATTTATCAGGACATGTATCATAAAGTGGAGTAGTAGATACTGTCTGGTATTATCCCTGTATTCCTAAGGTTCAGGCTAAAAAGGGAGGAAAATCACTGATCTCACTAGCCTGAAGTCAGTATATTTTTTAAAAGCAAAAATATATTGAAATTTTTTTAAAAAAGTGACAGCTTGAATAAGAAGGTTGATTGCTGATTTTTGTTGAATATTTTACTGCTAGTAATCCTTGACTAAAAATGTAAAAAAGTATTAACTGGTTTATCAAAAGAGAAAATAAATTAGGTTGCCTTTTTTGAATGAAAATGATCGAAATGGTAGTGTTCTTAGCTAGAATACTTTTAAAGTACTGTTTCCATTTTATATTAAATAAGAAAAAAGGCTAATAAGCACTAAAATACATGCTTCACCCAAGCATGCCAAACCTTATCTCTTTCATTCCCACTTTAATTACTTTAAACCTTGAGGACAATCATCCAGGAATAATTAAGAATTAATATGAGAGAGTACTCTGTTTCCTATATGTAGCCTCTCAACTAAAAATTTTACCCACCTGAGACTAAAGTACCCTGAACTCTTAAATATAATTTTCACTTTATTTTTCTAATTTTTAATTCTGTTAAAATGTAAGCTTCAATAGTTTTACCCACCCTCACCAAATGCCAAATATATTGCATCTTACAAAACAGTCTGGTATCTCAGAAACTGCAGATTCTTGCTAGAATTTGTATTAGGCATACAGTTGCTTCAAAATATGTTCCTAGCACATAGGAGTTCCTCTGAAATGTCTAAGAAATGCACTAAGCAAAATTGAGCTTTTTATTGATCTAGTGTAACAAAGTGAATGAACAGTAGTTTACTTTAGGCTGGTAAACCAATGTTTGAAACTGCCATTTATTCTTTGTTTACTGATTGCAAATGTATGGTACGTGAAATACACATGGTTTATATCTAATGTCCTGGTTTATTTCCAGTTTGCTTTTCAGTAATGTCTAGGTTTTGAACTGATCACAGATGAAACAGAAGCTAAAAAGATTGAAAAGTAAATAAGACATGGGCTAAAAAAACCATGACTATTTTCCCTGTGGTTACAATGTAAGAAGGTTATATTGGCATCCGATTGGAATCTTAGCTAATCCTACACATTGTACCATTGTGACCATACAGATAATATCAAGCTATGGGGAATTCACTAGGAATATACTGTATTATATGTCCTGACCACAGTAGGTAGAAAGAGATACATACTGGAGCCATAATTCTATCCTCTCCTACCCTTGCAGGATGTATGATAACATGTCCATGGATCAAGGGTGGGATTCAGTTTTTTTAACAACCAGTTCTGTAGACATGACTTAGTTGGTGGGCGTGGCTTGGTGGTCATGTGACTGGGTAGATGTGGCTTGGTGGTCATGTGACTGGCTGGGCATGGGCAACTCAACATCACTCACTTCGAGAGGCACTTCTCCTCATCTGGACTCTTGTGACTGTGGGGATACTGCAACAGTCATAAGTGTGGAAAACAGTCATCAGTCATTTTTTTTCAGTGCCATTGTAATTTTGAATGGTGACTAAATGAACTGTTGTAAGTCAAGGATTACCTGTACAAAAATACAAAATGCTTCTTTGCTTGCAAAAAGCTGACCTAAATACCAATCATTAGATTAAAAATACCTGCAAGCCAGAGTTACAAATCAGGCAGGGTGCCAGAGCACCTTGAGGAATTAAAATAGCTAAAATGCAATGATAACTATCAGCAGCCCTTTAAAGAAACCCTTTAGCAAAGAGGTCATTTAAGCTCTCCAGAAAGAGCACACCCAAGAAAAGCAATCCTTAGATCCATTTGCACCACTTAAAGTTACCAGCTGGTCTCACTCACCTCACAAGATATCCTAAGGAAATCATCCAGATTTAAGGAAAGGTCACATACCCCCCAGAAAGGCAGTAAAAAATTCAGTGCCAAGCTTGCATTCTGCCTCTTGGAAGTACACCTCCAAAATGACAGTGCCAGATATCACTAAAGCAGTGAAGGAAGACTGCTCCCAGATAGAAAAAGAAACCATGAGGTAGAAAAAAATTCAAACACAATAGAAATAATTAAATCACAACAGTAGCTGTTGCTTGTTAAACCAATTATCAGAACAAATAGAAAGAGGAACTAGTCAGATTTCTCAAGCCAATTTCTTTTCAGGAACAGAGATTAACCCCTTTCCTTCCAAACAAAGCTGAATAGGGAAAATTATCCCATCAATAAACACAGGATTAAACATCACCAAGCACAGAATTAAACTTCACCAAAAACCAGTTTTAGACCAAAACTCAGAAAGGGTATGTAAACTCATGTTTGAATGTCAGTCTTTCTAACTAGCCAAGAAGCCGTGCTGAATGTCACTCATTTTGGTTCCTTGTCATTAAAAGCTTCTTTCCGGCAGCTCTGCTTTGTTTTTCAATTATTTCTTCAAAGTGCTAACTTCAACAGGAGAGTATTTCCTTCCAACAGCAGTGTAAAAAGCTTAAAAGAGCCCTTTCCCTTTAAGAAAGTCAAGATGTCAGGTTTCCAAGTGAAATGGCTACACATATGTCAATTTCAGGCTGGACATAAGCAAAGTACCAGCAAAGGAGAGGAAAAAAGCCTCCAGAGAAGCTCTGGAGAAAGTAGTCCTGCCAAGAATGTAATAAGGGTTATTGGAGAGGCAGTTTCTGTAAGCAACAACACCAGAATGTAAAGAATGCTTTCCTTACAGGGTTAGGCCTGTAAAGTAGGAAAAAACAAAAGAAGATTTCTTCTAACAACCAGTTGTCTGAACTGCATAGAAAGTTAACAACTAGTTCTAGTGAATAGGTACAAACCGGTAGAATCCCACCCCTGCCATGGATCCTCTGAAACACATATCAGTTTTGTGAATAAGGCCATTTTATTCAGGAAGACAATGCAGTATAAAATCATAAATATTTCTCCTTTTATGGTGTAGCTGGGAAATAAAGAAGAGGGAAGTAATGTAGCTTATAGTAAAAAAAAATTATTCTTTTAGCTGATAATTTTTTACTTTGTCAGAAGCAGCTTTCCCAGGTATTTGGCAGAGATACTATTGGCAATCCAAGATGCCAAACATGGGAATTTCTGCATGCATACACATGATAAAATAACACACACACACACACACACACACACACACACACACACACACACAAAAGCACACATGGGGGGGGGGAATGAATAGAAGGGGAACTCATAAAATTTGCAGATGACACTAAACTGGCAGGAATGGTCAACACCCCAAAAAACAAGCTTAGGATTCAAAAAGATCTTGACAGACTTCAACAATGGGCTTTATCCCACAACATGAAATTTAATGTGAAGAAAAGCAAGGTTTTACACCTAAATAGGAAAATCCAAATGTACAAGTATAGATTAGGTGAAACCTGGCTCAAAAACAGTGACTGTAAGAGAGACCCTGAAGTCCTAGTGGACGATCCCTTAAACACGACCCAGCAGTGTGTAACAGCAGCCATAAAAGCTAATAAAATCCTTGGTTGTATAAATAAAGGCGTAGAATCAAAATTATGTGAATTATTTGTACCACTTTATAAATCCTTAGTAAGACCACACCTGGAATGTGGCATCCAATTTTGGTCACCACAATTCAAGCAGAGCAACTAAGATGATTAAGGTACTGGAGATAAAAAAAATATGAACAATGGTTGCAGGAGTTGAATATGGCTAGTCTAGAGAAAAGAAGGACTAGGAGGAAATGATAACAGTATTCCAGTATGAGAAGCTGCCACAAGGAAGAGTGGGTCAACTGATTTTCCAAAGTACTAGAAGGCAAAAAAAAAAAACAATGAATGGAAACTACTCAAGAAGAGAAACAACTTGGAATTGAGGAGAAACTTTCTAACCGTGAGGACAATTAACCAGTAGAACAGCTTGCCATCAGAAATTGTAGGTGTTTCATCACTGGAGGGTTTTAAGAAAAGACTGGACAACCAACTATCTAAAATGGTATTAGGGCCTCCTGTTTGAGTAGGAGGTTTGGCTAGAAGATCTCCAAGGTCACTTCCAGCTTTATTCTGATTCAGACAGACAGACAGACAGACAGACAGACAGACAAACTGAAATAACATGCATATTGCTGTTAAGATATGACACAGGGAAAGTAACTGTGATTAGCATATTTAAATCAATATGATATATTAATTATACAGATATTATTTTATCATTTGATTTAACAAGGTTCACTCTGATCAAGATAACATATCCTTAGAGCAGAGGTCTCCAAACTTGGCAACTTTAAGACTTGTGGACTTAAACTTCCAGAATTCTCCAGCCAGCATAGCATAGCTGGCTGGAGAATTCTGGGAGTTGAAGTCCACAAGTCTTAAAGTTGCTAAGTTTGGAGACCCCTGCCTTAGAGTATAAACTGCAAGCAACAAAAATATTACCTGTAATACATATCAATAATAATTGTGCTGTATAGCATAACAAACATGTCTATAAGTGGTAGCCTTTCCTACTAATTCATTTTTATATGTATTATTTTTAGTTACATGACTGATGGAGGGCTCAATCTATACACAAGAAGTTTGAATCGAATTCCTGACATAGCTGCCTCTCGAGATGTCATTCAAAGAGGAATTCATGATGTGACAGTGGATGCAGACAGGTAAAGCCTCCTTTTTCTACACAAAAGTCAAGAATGTCAAATTGCTACAGAAGTTTGGGAAAGTTATTCATGGCAATTCATTTTCAAATATGTAAATATTGGGCTCAGTGGCTGTAGGTTGGGGAGCATTAAAAATAATGGCAACAAAACCTAAGTTGCAGCTGGACAGTTATGTGAAGAGAATTGTGTATTCTTGAAAGACGATGCCCGCCCCCCCAAAAAAATCTCTTGTATCAACATCCACCAGAAAGTTACTATCAGAATGGCCAATAGTGTTGTGATTTATGGAATCCTGCAAATAAATTTGCCTGTAGAATACAAAGTCAGAGCAGCTGCCTAGCAATAATACCAGCATTTAATAATTTCTTCTTGTAAATCAGATGGTGATCAAAGTAACAAATTTCAGCCTAACAGAATTTGTGCTGTAATTTTTATTTTGAGTTTTAGATTATTTTCTGCTTTGTGCCTATACTGTAGATTATGATGTCCTTGTGCTTGTGGAGTGCAGCCTGTGTAGCTTTCACATTTCAAATCGTTTCCCACCTCTTGACCAAGTTTCTGTGCCATCTGCTACAGCAGAGAGAATTTGACGGTACTGCCAGCTTCAGCTCAGACTAATCCAAAGAGTTTTTCAGCCAAGTCACAATCAAAGAAAAACATCATCAAAAATATGAAATGGATTCTGAGTCCATGTGTAACTTGTTAAGCAATGTCTGAACTCCATAAGCCCTGTTAGTGCAGCATTTACTTTAGCAAATAGATGGATCTATCTTAGCTACCTAGGGTAGAACAAGAATAGGTAGAAGGTTGACAGAGGGTGACTCCCATCTGAAATAAGGAGGAATTTCCTGACATAATTGCTATTAAGCAATGGAACATCATTCTCCATCATGGAGATTTTTAAGAAGAGGTTGATCAGCCATTTGTCTGAGATGATACGAGGATTACTGCCCTAAAGATCCCTTCCAGCCAAATTTATCATACACATTTTCTGTTCTTTTTTTGAATGGCTTCACCCACAAATTTTCACAACCGAGTTACCTAAATTGAATCAGTGTATATTTGGAATTATTTATCATGTTGTTAAATCTACTTTTTTTTCAACCATACATAAACAATTAAATAGTTCAGCATTTTAATCATAATCCACAAAAGTGTAGAAAAACATAATTAAAGGTATTGTTATGAAAGCAATCTACCTATACAATTTTTTGATTTTTTTAAAATCAATTTTAAGCTCTTACATGTTTCTTAACACATGGTGGTTTAAATTTCTATTAACAATTATTTGAATGGTTTGCCAGTAATATTGTACTTTGATGTAAAGGATAGTCTTAACTGCTTTTTATGTAGAAAACTCCAGTCATGTTCAAAATTTTATATTTGAGGTTCTTTTTGCAGCCAAATATCTGCGTAATGATGTTTCTTTACAATATTCTTCTTCCGTACTTATAATTTGGACTTGAGCCTAGTATGGAATAGTTTTTGGACATTGGAAAAGGAAGACTCAGGTATATCATAGACAAGAAAAGAACGAATGTGTGCTTTAACAATCAAATAAAGTGGCATTAAAATTGTAAGATATTTTTATAGCTAAAATCTTCTTTGTACTTAGGCTATTGACTTTCTGGATCGGTCCATCAGTTGTCTAAATATATTTGTAATGCAAAGAGATTGCACAGGGGTTGAGCAAACAGTCACAGAACTACAGGAGAATGCAAGCAAATCCGTTTACTTGTTTTATTCATGCATTTGCAGTATACATTTCATAGAAAGAGTATACTGAAAGAAAGAAGAGCCTTCATATTTCTAATTTTTATCTCCTTGTACCAACTGGAAAGACTAACAATTTGAGAATTTTCTGGTGTGTGTATTTTATTTATAGCTACTATAAAGAAAATTATTTTCTTTTCTCAAATCTAAAATATTGCATTTAGTTTGAGCCCACCACATTTTAGAAAGCAATTGAAAAATTGAACCTTGTCCAGAGAAGAGCAATTAAGACAGGAAGGGACTTGGAAGGACCTCCAGCTACTGTTGGAAATACCAGGCAACAGTGGGTGATATTGGGTATGTTTAGCCAGAAGAAAAGAAGACTGCGGGAATATATTATAGTTGCCTGTCTTCAAGCAGTTAAGGCTTTTGTCTAATTAAAGTCTCTGTGTGTATGCATTAACTAAGAAAGAATTATTATGGGAATAATAAATGAGAATATTTATCTCTTTACATCTGGTGCTCTTTTGATCTCTTATATTTCTAATTTTGCAGATACCAACATTCTTGGTTTTTGCTTCATTCCCATGAAAATGGATGAAGTATGTGTTTGGGAACTAGAGCTTTTTTATGTTGATTATATCTGGGAAATATAAAAGTGAGAGTCATTTGTATCTCATTATTACAGAAGGAAAATGTCAATATGTGGAGTGTAGCAGACTGCCCTAAATAGGCACTGTGCTTTAAATACACCTTCAGAGCGTGCATTTTCTCTGATTTCACTGCAACTAATTCTAGGAAGAAACCAGATCTATATTTAGATTACTTTTAATTAGACCTGTAATTTTGTATGAAAATTTAGACCACGTGCTATCTTAATTTTCATTTTAATTCATATAAAGGTTTTCTGCAGTTTTATTATCTGTGAAGACATTTCATTTTGTTTATTTTAATCTAAGCTCCCAGGCTTTTAACAGTTCTAGTGCTATGCAACACAAAAAGATATTGTCATTTATTGTTAATATAAATGATATTTTGCTTAGCCCAGAAGTAGTAATATATTTAAATATATTTTTATTTTATTTTATTATTTTTATTTTATTCAGTTTATTCTATTCTGGGAAGTATTAAACATACCTAACAATATTTTTAAAATAATACAAGTTAAAAAACTATTTAAAATGAACAATAACATAGTGCCTAAATTACTTTATGAATTTAAAATATGACAAAAGTTGCATCTTTACAGATTTTCTAAACGCTTAAACATTAGAGGCCAGACACTACTCTTTTTGACAGAAATTTAATTTCTAAAGAGCCTTTCCTGGACATTTCAGTAGCCACTCAGTTAAATAGCAGAAATGTGATCCTTTTAAAATCTTATACAATTCAGGGTTTTAAAGGGAATTACAAACATTTTAAATTTTGCCTCATAGGCAAGTGGCAAACATAGATCTTTCAGAACAATATGACTATGAAAGCTTACAATGATTTACATCCAGACCACTGCTCTTGTACCAATTGCAGCTTCTAAACAGTTTTCAAGGATAGTCTATGCATAACATGTTGTGGTAATCTAGAAAGGTTGTAGATAAATATATTAAATCTGACTCATTTCATGTCACATGAGAAGTAATTATGCAAATTCACCCTTAATCGTATATACCATCTTAAAATCCAGTGACAGCCAAGGATCTTGCTCAGGAGTGTCAAACTGGCAGCCCATGGGCTGGATGTGTCAAACACAGGCCACGCCCACCCCAGCTCCATGAAGGAAAAAACATTGTGATATGTCATGTGATAGCAACGTGACAAGGCGAGTTTGACATCTGTGACCTAGGCAGACTCCCAATGTGTGAAATTTCTGTTCCATGGAACGTACAATCCCATTCAAAATAGATTGAATCTTGGACACCAGAGCCTTATCTCTTAATTTATCACAATATCTTTGTGTGAATTTAATTTCAACATGTTTTCTCTCAGTTCACTATGAAATTTTGGCAACATGTAAATGAAGATTCAATCTTCCAGTCCAAAAGTATCTAAAAAGGTTAAATCATGGCAAATAGATCGAAGTTCATTAATCTGAGATGTTTCATTACTGTTGTGGTTCGCTGGCAGCAGGTGCGGACGGCTGAGGTCTCGGAGAGCGATGACTCAGATGAGGGGCCTGCGTGTGATGCAGGAATGGGGCCAGGACTATCAGAGAGTGGAGTTCTGCCTTCGGAGCTTGTGGAAGCTGGCAGCAGTGATGCAGAGGACCCCGAAGAGCCTGTGCCCAGTGTGCGGGCATGCAGGGCTGCTCGAAGGAAAGAGCAGCTGCAGCAGCACGGGCGACTCGGGAGTAAGGCTGCAAGGTGATGGCCCCTCCCTTAAGGGATAAAAGCCAGCCCTCAGAGGTGGGATTCTTTGCAGGAAGCAAAGAAGTTCTTGCACTTCAAGTCTTGTGGAAGTTCGGACTATCCTGATTTGTGTTTGGAGACTTTTTGATTATTTCCTTGCAATTTAATCTAGTGTTCTTGGCAGCCTGGCACAACCTTGGCAAGGCTTGTTCTTATCTGGGACAATTAGTTTTTGACAGTGTTTTACTGTGAATGAACGGAATTCATAGAGAAGCATTAAAAAGGTTTGCTTTTATCTCAGTTTGGTGTTTGTTTGCTTTGAACGAGGCTTGGGTCAGAACAGTTACTCATCCAAGTAACTTCATCAGTCAAAATAAAAAATTAGGCAGAGAGTCATAGAGTTGTTGGAAAGTACTAACTTTTACCATACCAACTACAGGGGTTTCTCCCCAAAATGTATTGCAATATTATACATCTTATAATATATCACAGTAAAACAATGTTTTGTTATCAAGCATGATGTCTTGACACAATGGATAGGTGTCAGCAAAATTTTGAAAAGCAGTTCTTGTAATAAAACTACACATTGTAGAGAAAAGCACTGAAAGGGAGCTAAAGATTCTTAATGGATGAGAATAATTCTTTGTTCTTTTTATGATCTGGTTCCTGAATTGCTTGGGAGAAAAGGCTTTAGATGTAATATACATGAATTAAATCTTCTGAGAGAATGAGAACCTTTGAACTGGTGATAAATTCTAAGTGGTTTCCTCTCACTTATGAGTGAAAGCAGCTATTTCCTTCTTATATTGAAAAGAAGGAGGAGAATGCATGGCTGCTTGAATTTGAATAGGGAGGTGTTTAAATCAAAATTCCAATGAAATAAAACATCTGTTGAAAGAACTTTTCAGTGAATTAATTAAATGTTGCTTCCAAAAGGAAGGAAAT